GAGCCGCTCAGCGCAAGCATTTTGCTGAGGTCGGAAACTACATGAAAACCGAGGACTCGTATTGCGGGAGGCTGGCCAGGCGCTCGTGTTCGCAAAGTGTTTGTCCCAGCCTGCGCTCTCTGGTCGTGGGAGGATCGTGGCAGGACGCAGGACGGCTCGAGCAGAAAAGTAGGAGGCTCACGCGGATTTCCAAGGTCAGGGGGCAACGACTGCGGGGGACGGAGAGGCCTCGACCCCCGATCGCCTGTTCCTGGGCCTGGGTGCCCCAGCCTGCCCAGGAAGGGGCGGTGCCGCTACCCAAACCCTATGGTTGATTGAGTCGGGTCTGTCCCCCCGACAGGAGGAGTATTCAAAAATAGCCGGACATGTAATAATTGGGGCGAGTTTGTTGTTTATGTTCGAAGGACTGTTCAGTACTTTTTGACTATTTCAGAGTTGTCGTCCACAATCCGCCTGTAGGAGGGCATGTCTGACCTAACCCTATGGTTTATCGCCGGTCTATCGGCGATGCACTGGCGATTTCAAGTCAGCGCTTTCCCCCCCTCCGCCAGTCCCACCCTTGGCCATCGTGAACCCGAGGAATCCTCGCGGCCACCGGCGAGAGTGGCATCCGCCCTTGGGGCGTGTGTTGGGTTGGCCCAACGCGCTTATCAGCCGACGAAGGGCAGTACACAGTACGGTGATCCGCCATCGGGAGTGCTTGTCCCTGGGCGGCTGGAAATTTCAACCCCGACGCAGCACCGTGGGAGTACTATGAACTTTGCAGCCGCCCCTGGGGCTGGCGTACCAGGCGTCCCCCATGACGGGGGAAGCTTTTTTTGTATACCGTGCTTCGCCCACTGAGTTTACCCCCCTTCAGCTCCACCGATAGCACACAGCCTCCGGTGTCGGCCCTCATTACACCGCCTGCGTCGTATTGAAGGGCTCCGATGGAAAAAAAACATAAGTTGGCGCCGACGCACGTTCTGAAGCTCACCGGGTGGAGCGGCCCGGGGCCGCCTTGATACCCCCGGAGGCCCTCGAGAGCCGCCGAAGGCAACCGAACGCCCTCGAAATGACTGCCGAAGGCATGGAAGACTGGCGAACCGTCTCGTTCGAGCGCCCCCAGGAGACCGTTGACACCAGCAGGGTTCGTTTCGATCCGATCGATCCGACTCGATGTAAATGTAGGCCGGCTCGATACGATTCGATTCCGGTGTTCTGTCTGATGTTGCCTGATTTTCGCATGGCGCTGTTGTGCATCTTGGCGCGGCCGATCCGATTCGAGCTCGATCCCGTGACGATACAGCCCGATACGACGCATATCCCGAGTCGTTCCGATGTCCATATTCGACGCTGACTGATCTCGCCTTCTCCCAAGTCCATCCGCCTCCCCCCATCTCAAAGCATCATCTCATCGGCCGAGGATCCACTCGAAGCTCGACCTTGGTCCTCCCACTTCCCCTCTCCACTCGGGATCCGATGCGCGTCCCGATCTGACCCGCTTTCCCGCTTCGATGCCGACTGATCTGACCGCAGGCGGTTGCGGCGCGAGGGGTGCCTCCTGGCTGTTCCCTCCCGTGGACCGATGATCCTCAGGACGTGCGGTGGCCCAATTGATGCGTATCGGCGGACGAAGGACCATACACAATACGTTCTTTCACCACCCGGGGGCGCCTTCCCTGGGCGGCTGGAAAATTTATACCTCGACGTGCCCCGGGCGGTTGCGGCGCGAGAGGGGGCGCAGAGGGGGCGCCCGCGCCGCCGCCCGGCGAGCCGGGGGCCCGGGCCATAATGGCGGCTCAGGGCGCTGGCAGGCCGAGGTCCTCCTCCCTTAAGGCGCCCCACGCGTGCGCGTCCCTGGCGCGGCCGCCGGCGGCGGCGGCGACGGTGACGGCCACGGCGACGGCCATGGCGACGGCGACGGCGCCGGCGCCGGCGACGGCCACGCCGACGGCGACGGCGACGGCGCCGGCGCCGGCGCCGGCGACGGCCACGGCGACGGCCACGGCGACGACGACGACGACGACGACGACGACGACCTTGAGATCTGGGCGCTGCATTTTTCTCACACCGGGCGTTTCCGCTTGGTGTCGGGCCACTGGACCATCACAGATCGATCCAGTCCGAAAGGCCGCAGACAGATCCCAGTCATGATTTCACACGATCTTCCACTTGTTTCGCAACGTCGGATCTCGGGGACGACGGTCGGTGGTCCACGTGGGCGACGACCCGTAGCGGCCTCGCGCCGTGGAAACTTACCACGGAAGTATTTTTTGTTGCCATTCTCGGCCTCCAGGTGCGCGAGCCCGGCCCCTGGGCAGCAACAGTTTCAGACATGGCTCCGGACGAAAAGCCGTGCGGCCTGGAAGGGGCCCAGACCTCAGGGGCAACGTCAGGGGAAGTTGCTTCCAGGGGGACGCGTCGACCCCCAATCGCCCAGTCATCGCCGATGGGGGCCCGATGCTCCCCCCCCAGGCTCGTGCGGGCCCGGTACCGAGGGCTTATCGCCGAATCGGCGAGGTATCGGCGATTCAGGCTCGATGCTCCCCCATGCCCAAGACAGTTCCCCCCTACTGTTTCCCCTCGCCTCCCCGCGCCCCAGCGCGGACCCCAGAACTCCTCGCGGCCACCAGCGGCAGTCGTCTGCCTAACGGGCCCCCCTCTCGGCTCTGGGCGGCTGCGCCGCGGGAGCGGCATCCTTCCCCCCCCCAGGGATTGATGATGATGGGCCTGTTTTCCACCACCACCACCACCACCATAAGTTGGAGGGGGGAAGGAGGTGGAGGATGAGGAGGAGGAAGAAGAGGAGAGGAGGAGGAACCTCACCCCCTCCTAATTACTTACGGTGGTGGCGGTGGAAAACAAGCCCATCAGATGATACCCAGGACGCGTGTGGGCCCAGTGTGTGCGCATCAGGGAATCGATGATCCCGTTGACGCGTGCCTGTGCGTGCTGGACGGGGTTGGGAGATCGTGCTGCAGCCGATGCATCGGCGATGCTGTTCGATGTGTACACATCGTTCATGTCTAATGCTCCTAAGGTTCTTTGATGTTCTGGGGGGCCAAGATCCTGTCATTTCTGATTTTTCTATCCTGGGCCTCTTCCTGGCCACTAGCGGGCCAGGAACAATTAGAAGCGAGCACAAGTAGAAATGAGCACGATTAGAAATGAACAACGTGTAGCCCGATGTTCTACACGCCGACGTCGTCGCCGATGCAGCGCCCAGGTCGCCGATGCATCCGCGATGCGGCGCGGTCCTCCGACCCCATCTGCTCGGACCCCCTCGGACCCCCTTTGGAAGAGCCCCAGTCACCCAGTCCCAGCTTCTCGGGGCGTGTGTCAGCCTGTTGATCGATGCTCCTCAAGGTTTCTGGGGAGCCACGCAGGGGGAACAACAAAAAAACACGCCGTCGGAACCTCGGATACGTTGGGCCTCCTCACGAAAGGACCAACGCAGCCCGCGGCCCGCGGCGGGTTTCGCCCTGGAGGTCCCGTTTGAAGCGCGCCACGTACAGGTCGGGGGGGGTCTTCTCTGCGGCGCACGAAAGCGTCGACGAGGACGACGACGGCTTCGCAGACGACCACGACGATGACGTGCGACCAAGACGACCACACCGACGACGACGACGGCGGCGGCGACGACGACGACGAGAACGTCGAAGACGTCGACGTCGACGTCACGACCACGACCACGTCGACGTCGACGATGCCGACGGCGACGGCCCCGAGAACGAGAAGTGGGTACGCACGAAGACGACAACGGTGGCGGCAACGACGGCAAGGCCGAGGACGACGACGACGCCGACGAGGACGACGACGACGACGACAAAGACGATGACGACGAGCACGTTGACGAATACGACGACGACGACGACGAGGACGACGACGGCAGCGGCGGCGACGGCGACGGCGACGGCGACGGTGTCGGAGACAAGGCCCACGAGGCTGACGAGCTTGACAAGGACGACTCGTACGACGCCGACGGCAGCGGCCGTGACCAAGGCGACATCGGCAGCAACGACGGCGACGACGGCGACAAAGTCGATGAGGACGAGGGCGACGAGGACAACGATGACAACGGCGGTGGCGGCGACTGCGGCGGCGACGGCGGCGACAACGCCACGGCGACGACAACGACGACGAGGGTGCCTCACAGGGCTGTCCGTGGGGCCCCCCGCGCGGTCCTCCGTCTCCACGGAGTTTTCGGGCAGGTTCCCCATAGGTGCCAGACTGGCCAAATGTGGTTCCTGGAAGGCCCAAGTGGCTCCCAAGACGCCCCAACACGGCTCCCAGAGAACCCTCCAGATGACCCGACGATGCAAACATCGTCCTGTTCCCAAGGGACAACGCACAGTTCTAGCACACTCGCTGTTTTCATGCGCGCAGCGTCCAAGACGGCCCCAGGGGCTCCCAGGAAAGCCCCAAAACGGCCCAAGAGGTCCCCTGGAGGGCCCGAAGATTGCCCAAGAGGGCCCCAAGATGACCCAAAAGGCACCCGGGACCGCCCAAGACGGCCCCAAAAGGCCCCGAGGAGGGAATTCGAACTCACATTTCGAGGCCACCGCCCCAAGAGGACCCAGAAGACCAACAGCAGGCCTCCAAGAACCCCCCTAAGAGGAGTCCGTAGCCACTTTGGCTCACGCCGTTTTGGCTTAGGTTAAACATCTATCGAGCCAGCTGGGCAGGAACACCCGTGTGCTGCTCCTCAGGGCGCCTGCCCCAGGCCAGGAGCCAGCTGCTTTTGTTTGTTGTTGTCTCTCTCTCTCTCTCTTTCTGTCGTTTTTTTGTTTTTTTTTATCTCTCTCTCTCTCTCTCTCTCCTATACATATATATATAGAGGGAGAGAGAGAGTGGTTACTCTGTTTTCCCGCACCTGCACGGCCGCCCTGCCGAACCACGGCCGTGCCTTTCGCAGGGCCGAGAGCCCGAGCCGTGCGCGACTAGATTTTTGTACGAGTTCCCACAGCAGCCGTTGCGCCTCCGCGAGTCGCAGCCCACGCCGAATAATAAGGCCGCCCATGACATCTGACGACAAGCTCGACCAGCTGCTGCAGTCCTTCCAGGGTTTCGGCCAGCAGCTTGCGTCGTCCAGCTACGAGATTCCCTTCCTCGAGAAGCAGGGTCAGACAACGCAGCAGAGGTTCGACGCCTTAATCACACAGATCGGCTCACTCTCCACCGAGATGGAGAAGAAAGATTCTCTCCTCAAGGGCCATGTTTCTGCGACGTGGGCTGACCTCAACGACGGCGTCGTTCAGCTCAAGGTCGAGGGCAACACCCGCATCAAAAACGCCGCCCCGTGCCATGCGATGCCGGCCTACTCGATGCACGTTGGCGACGACGACGGCCCACATGGGACCGCTCAGCAACGCATCCAGGCGACCAAGGAGCAGTTGAAGTCGATCTCGACTCCGCACTCGTCGGCTGGCTCTCGCTCTACCTTTGCCTCTCACACCGTGAAGGCTCAGGACAACAGCTGCAAGCTCATCGTCATCGGTTTCCCGCGCAGGATGGTGCAGTCGACGCTGCGCAACGTCGGCGATGCGAGCCGATTGGAGTTCGTCCGGACGGACCCCCGCTATATCATCGCAACCTTGGACAGTGCCAAGAAGATTACGCTCGAATTTGAGGTTCCTGAGGGCGCCCACACCTTCACGGCGAGCACCATGCAGGGCGGCCCTTTTCGAGATCGCGGACTCGCTCGCGCCGACGGTGCCCCTCAGCTTACGTGTCAAGCGCGACCAGGGCATCACTGGCCGCCAGCTCTTTCTCTCCATGGGTCGACTTCGCTCATGCCTGACGCGCGTCCCCCGGGACATGCAGATCCCCGTCGTGAGCAGCGGCGTCGGCGGATTGGCGCGTGCGTTCCGAGGTCAGGAGGGCCCCGCGCCAACGGTCCAGCTCAGCTGCGCTGAAGGGCACCTCGGCGCATCAGTCGACGTCGACGCGCGAGGATGATGCCGTTCAAATGCGTCGCCCCTTTCCGACGCTAAGCTGGATCGATGTGAGCCCCAATCGATTGCAGCCAGTAGCAGTGATGGTGGTCCGTCTTTTTCTCCCCCTCCATTTGTCTGCCGTTCCTTCTTTGTGACCCGTTGTTTTCTTGTGCTTGGAACTCCCGCGGGTCGTTGACGAGTTGGCGCTCGCTGCTTTCTCATCCTCGAGCGATGCTATCTTCCAGGTTGCGCGTTGTCACTCTATTCACAGACATGTTGGCGACGTCGGAGAGCCCCGTCGCGAGCTGACCTCCCGACAACAAGCGCGCAACATCGGCCACTCCTCCTCCGTGGACGGTCGGCGCGAGGGCGGAGCGAGGACGGTCGTCGGTCCTGCCCTCGCCCGTCTCTTTCCCATCGTCAGGCACATCGCCGCATCCCTGGTCGCATTTTTCAACCTCAACAGCACAATCATGAGCTCCGTCGACGATGTCGCGGCCGAGCTCGCGTTTCGCATCTGCGATAGCCGAGGTAATCCATTGGGTCCACCTACCACTCCGCCGAGGTGCCGAAGCGAAGCCACAATGCTGGCGGTTTCAAATTCCCCCCTACTTCGCGGTGGCAATCTCAAGGTCCATGACTCGCAATGTGTGCACGTCCGTCCGCTTGAATTCATGTGCTCGCGGGCGCGCCCTAGGCTGTCCAACGGTGGTCACGACCCCGACTCCGTCAACCACTGCCCCCTTTGTCTAAGGTGCTGCCAGTTATTCGCGCAATGGCTTGGCGGCCCCATCCCCATTTTCGTGTATGTATGAGGGCGCCCCCTGGCACTCCGCCGGAGTGACCTTCGCCGGAGTGACCCTCCTTCAGCTTTTGTTCTATATCTCTTAGCATGTGTCCTGACACGCCAAAATCCAGCGGCCACTGCCTCACCTGCCTGGTAGGAGCCAGGCCCGCACTGGCAGTAGGTCGTTTGTTCCAAGGCCTGTTTACGATCCCATCCCATCACCACTGTGAATGTTAGGTATGTGATGAGCGTGGTTTGACTTGACGCGCTTCTTACGTCGCCCTGCCCGGCGGCGGTCACGCCTGAACAGCATTTCGAACCTAGATTCCAGATTCCGGATTAACTCCCGACGACGCGAGTCTGCGGCCAAAGCCTGGCGGCTGCAGGCGGCTGCGCAGCTTTCTCCGCCCTCCTCCTCTTCATCCTTTGTAGCCGCAATTATATATGTTCTGGCCCCTGGCCTTGGTCGGGAGGCCACCAGAGCCCGCGGGGGCATGCCGTATGGCGGTCGCTGGTAGACCCCCTTGCCATCGAAGGTTACTCTTTTGGGGGGCCAGCCCAGTGCTGGCAGCGACAACCAACACAAATCATCGGATTCAGCGTGCTCGCGGGGGGAACCTATGAGGACTTGGCAGCTGCGCCGAGGGTCTCCAGGAGACCCGAGCAGGCGTTCAAGAGGTTTCACACCAAGAGCCCAGGCACGGTGGCAGGATGGGCAGAAAGCCACCAGGAGGGATACACGTGCACGAGGGGCACGGTGGCCCCTTCTCTCTGCCCTCACATTTCGAGGCTTCGAGCCCGAGAGAACCCAGGAGACTGCCCGCAGGACCCCAAGAACCCCAAAGAGGGCCTAAAAGGCTCCCAGAAGACCAAAGAGAGAGGCCCCAAGAGGACCCCAAACGGCCCCCAATGGGCTTCAAAACTGCCTCCAGGAAGTTGCCCAGAGGCTTCCCGAAAGTTCCAACAGGCATCCAAGAAGTTTCTGGCCAGCATCCCAGGCACGGCGGCACGATGTGCCGCAGGCTACTTTTTTCCCCTCTTCAGAGGTTCCGTTTATCCTTCTGCTCTTGTTTATCATTGCTGTTCTGCCCTCGTCTTCGTCGCCGCCGTGCTCCTGGATGTTGCATGTGTCTTCTCGACCTCCAAGCTGCCCCACTCGTCGTATTCAGCGTCCACCTGAGAACATCCGAGCTCAGCGAATGGCTGTTTATTGCGTTTCCCCGCATCGCCCTCGCATGCAAGTCCTATCCACAGCTATCGCCCAGCTTTCGACGCATCACTGCGAGCTGGGACTCCAGAGAACCTGGGCGCGCGCGCAGCGCGCGCGCGGTGGTTCTAGTCAACCGAAGAATAGCAGACGGCACTGACATTAATTCTTGGAGCTCCGCGCATATTGTTTGGATTGGCGCGGGAAAACATACACGTGCCCGACGTCCTGCAAGCGCTGTCCTTTGCACGCCCAGCATTCGCGATTCGGAAAAGCATTTGCCTCGGCGTGCCGTTGGCGAAGCCACGCGTGGAGGCAGGGCTTTTGCTCGAGGGCCGAGGGGTTTTGCTTTCGTCTTGTCGTCCGCCACCGCCTCCCTGGCGGCGCCTCGGGCGCCGCCCCTGGCGCGCTCCGCGCGCCAGGCAGGGTGTCCAGCGCCGACCAGATCAATCCGCGTGGACCTCCGAAAGCTGATGTTCATGACGTCTTGCCTCAGCCGACATGAGGCACAGTTTCTCATCCCCCAGGAGTTTCCAGTCGGGGCGCGAAGGGGCCCGTGCAACTCCCCGTCATGGCCTTCCTTTGAAGGGGGGGGGCAAGTGCCGTTTTTGTTGCATCGCGGTGGTCATGGGGCTCTGAAAAGAAACTGGTCTTATGCGTGAGTCTGCGTGCGCGATGGAGGAGTATGGGTTGGGCCGGCTATGAAGGATTGTGTGAAAAAGCGAAACCGATCATGATTGATCTAAGATTGTGAGTCTGGGTATTGTGCGAGTCTGAACTAGTGCGATGTACACAACACCCCCGTGAGTGCGTCTTAGTATGAGGGCTCCGAATACGAAATCGTTCGGCACATGAACCAGTTTGGGTATGAGTGGATGCCTGTATGGGGAAGGGTGGTTATGATGTGGTCTAATATGGGGTATCAAGATGCTTGAGGCTGAGTAGGAGTGATTCCGAGTGCGCGTGATGAGTATGACCAAGTCTTAGTTTGAGCGGGTCTGAGTGTAAGCGAGGCAGGGCATGCGTAATCCTGAGTGCGAGTGAAGCTGCATGTGAATAGATCTGTCTACGAGCCGCCAGATTTGAATGCTCATGAATGCGATGCGGGGGGGGATTGAGGCGACAGGGTCCACCCACGTCATGACAAGAACACCACACGTAGGCTATGGAGGGAAGAAGAACTACATCCTTCTCCCACAGGTCGACTGCGGCGACGGCCGCCGACGACGACAACGACGACGACAGCGATCGACGACACCGACGTCGTCGATGGACAACACCAACGGCGACGGCGACGACGTGGTCGACGACGACGCCGATGACGGAGACTTGGGCGGCGGCGGCCGCGGCGGCGGCCGCGGCCGGCGGGGGCGACGGACGATGGCGGACGACGGGCGGCGGCGGACCTTGACCTTCCAGGAGGGCGAGCTAAAGATAAGAACCCGAACCTTGGCATCTAAATTCCTGCCGAAGTTTCAGGCATCCCAGATGAGTCGAATTACAGGTCTGAAAGGCTGTTGCGAAGGCCTTACGGCCGGTGCCGCCGACCTTGAAGGGGGATGACGACGACGGCGACGACGACGACGACGACGCCGACGCTGGTGACGGCGACGGCGACGGCGTCGGCGACGGCGATGACGATGTCAACGACGACGACGCTGACGCTCTGGAGCCCAAAGCTTCTCCCAGGGAGGGGCGCTTCCCCCAAGAGGGGGTGGGTCACAACCCTAGGTCTATAGTTATGGAGTTTTATTTTGCTGTTAGCAGTCTGGAAGGTCCGCGGGCGACCGTGGACAGCGCACGACGGCCATCGACGGCGCACAACGACGACGGCAGGCGCTGCCGCCGGAGGGCGAGGACGCGGGCCCGCCGGCCTTGTCCGTGGGCCCGAGCGCGCATTGGACGGTGAGCGCCAAGGACAGGAGCCCAGCCGCGGGTTCCAGGAGCACCCCGCCGCCGCCTGGCAAACGGTCCTGGCGACGGCTTCAGGGGCAACGACAGGAGGGGGATAGGCTCGAGGGGCGACTGATGGCGAGGTTCGAGATTTTCAAACGTTTTCGACGTTTCTAGGCGGTGCTCCAGCCTCGGGGTGCCTTCGAGCAGCTGCGCTTCGCCGAGGGCGTTCCTGGGGTGCCCGGATCGTCCCGAACGGCCGCCGGAGAGCCGAGTTATGGCACGAAAGTTATGCGGCAACGTTAAGGGGGGGGGGGTATAGGCTCAGGGGGGGAAGCATCGACCCCTAACCGCCCATTGATCCCCGATAGGGGTCTGATAGTCCCACCCCTCCTAAGGTGCGGATTTGCTAGCTGGGGTCTATCGCCGAGCTATCGGCGATGTATCGCCGATTCGGCGGCGACGGCGCTCTCAGCCATCAGCGGGTCCTGAGGAAAATGGGTAATGTTAGTTTCTACAGTTCTTGAGCTTCTGGGGCCCTCCGCGGGCCCCGGGACTGTCTGAAAACGGCTCAGGATGAAGATCTGATCCTGGGGGAAGGCCCTGGCACGCGGTTCTGGCCACGGCGTCGGGCGTTGCGCAATGGCGGGGGAAGATAGGGGTGAAGAAAGGTCCACTTTTTGGCACGCTGGAAGGGCCCTTTGGTGCCCAAAAGGGGTACAACAGTTGCACTGTTGCTGTCGATTCCGCAACTACCTCCCCAGGCAGCGCCCGACGGCGGCGACGGCGCTCTTGGTTTCGGGGGGCCCTCGCTGGGCCGAAGGAGCGCCAAGAAAGTGCTCAGATGGAAAGTTGGTCGGGATCCAGACCTCTCGGGGCCCACGGTGTGACACACCATAGAATTTCCGGGGTCGACTACGATCGGCGACGACGGCTGCAACGGCACTGGTGCTTGCAGCGTGGTCAACAGCGACCGGCGACGATGCCGCCGTCGCCGATGGACGACAACGATAAGATTTGGGCTTTGCTTGGCGTTTTTGCCCAGCTTCGGGCCCTGGGGCCATGGCAGATCGATCCAGCTCGCCACATGCCGCAGAAAAAATGGTGTGGGGCTCCAGTTGTGAT